ATAATTTTGGATGCACAAAATTTTCGTTTTATTTTTATTTTGTAGGGATTTCTAATATATTATGATCTTATTATTATCAAAAATTTATTATGTGATTATGATATATAAATAATCAGAATAAATAATGTTAAAATATATTTTTACATAGGGGTCATCAGCAATAAACCCCTCATATAGATAATAAATGGTGATATGTCCACCCCTTAAATCTTTCTTTGTGATAAACCCCTTGAATTTGTATTTCCAAATTTACCCTTATGTCAATTAGCATAATTAGTCTCAATTATTTCATTTTTCTCTCTTTCCATAATAATAATCTAATTCCTATAAATATGCTTCCAAATTCCTAAAAATTTGCAACCAAATAAATAAAAAAAATGATTTTTTTTTATTTTTTTATTTTTTTTATTATTTCGGATTTTTTAGCCATTTTTTTTATTTATTTATATTTTTAATATTTTTTCTAATAAAAAATATCTTTTTTTATTTTTTTTAAACAAAAAATTGAATTTTTTTTTTTCCGAAAAATTTACAACTCCGAATATGATTATAGGTGAATATGGCTATTACGTGACTACGTTGTGTATAACAGTGTAATTAAAATATTGTAGAAGCATAATTATTAAGATAACAGTAAGAATATGACTATTATGTGAATGTGACTGTGCTTTGTCAAACATTATAATTAACGGACAGTAGAAGCCTGATTCTTCACAAAAACGGAGAGAATATGACTATTATGTGACTGCGGTTTGTATAACAGTGACTGAACAGGACAGTGAGAATATGACTATTATGTGACTAAGTTCTGCGTAATGTGACTACAAGTAATCAGCACTTGAAAAAACTTGCAATATTAATAGCAAAATACATTGCAAAAAGAAAAAAAAAATGACTAAAAAAAGAATAACTAATGTGATCTATCAACAATGGCCATCGAACATGTTTTTTTGTTGCGGTATCTTACTCAGTTGCACCGACTGCACTTAATCTTCCGTTTGATCTTGTGCGTTAAATATGACTACACTGTTGAATGTTGAACATATGCAGCACTACAAAAAAAAAGGTCAAATATAACTAAGTTGTTAAACATGACTACTCTGTCAAATACGACTACTCTGTAAAATACACTGCACTACAACCGACTAATTTCGTAATTCAATGGGGTTTTCCAGATCTAAACATTTCAGAATAACACAAAAATTAATAAAATCCAGAATAATTGAAAAATTAATGTATGTGTTCATAACAAAAGCAATAATAGAACTGAAAATCAGATCCATAACATATTCCATTGCTAGTTCGACAATTAAATTCGAGAAAAAGAAAAAAATAAAATTTACCAGTTAATATAGTATAAATTGGTATTCAACGTCGAGAGAAGGGAAATCTCCATGTAGAAATCCGACGGAGGCGGCGACCAAGGTGGGGGAAGGCGCCGCCCGCCAATTGTATCAGGCGTCGATGTGGTGGTGTTCGACGAGGGGGGAGACGATGTCCAACATCGGCGGAGGAGGGCCTCCTACAACGGGTTCGACCGACAGCGTTTGAAAGATAATGTTGACTCCGGTGGCCGACGGTTTACAGATCTGAAGAAGAAGGAAAAAGAAAAAAAAAAAAAAAAAAAAAAAAGAGAAAGAACGTGAACAGAGTGAAAAGAACGAGAGAATGAAAGAGAGAGAGCGGCGTGAACAGAGAGAAATATCGAGAGAATGAAAGAGAGAGAAATAAAATTCTATTAGGTTAAAAATCTAACACATAGGGGCACTGTAGTCTTATCATGACTGGTAAGGGGGGTCTCACTAATTTAGATTGGGATATGGGTTATGGGAAAAGTCTTTAAAGTCAATTGGGTTTAGTTCAAAATATTTTCCAAATAAGGGGTGTATTGCATATTTCCCCTTTTACATATCGTTTGAGTATTTACAAATAATATTTATAATTATATTACATTATATTTAAAAGATCAATTTATTTTCCGATTTATCGTCGATTAATCACCGTTGCATAGATTAATCATTAGAAGCGATGCATAACCGACTCGGTTCCGATTCTTTTTTTTACAGCATTGCCTAGAACCAGAATAGTAATTAAAGATAGATCTAAGGCCATTTATTAATGGGCCATCAAATATCTTGTCTCAAGTATATTTGGACCATAAGCAAAGTAACCTTTCAATGCTATAAACAGACCAAACACTGTCGGCCTCACACTTTATTTCTCAATTATTGAGTGGGGAGCAATATATACACCATGTGCTTGAAGTTGATGGTTCACTATGTCATTCTTTATTTATTTATTTCACATCACATATTTTTTTGTACATCAAAACTCGAAATCGAAATATAGATTTGGATAAGATAATTAAGAAAATGCTCTTTACGGTTTAATAACTGTTATTTACCGTTCAAAGTAAAAAACAGTTTATCTCTCTAAAACCCCTAAAATTCTAAATTCTCTCCAAAATCACTCCATTCCAAAATTTGCTGAAATTTTTTTTTTTCGAAAAATTTCGAAATCAACCAATTTCTTGCTTGGGCTTCGATTTTTTCAGGTAATTTCAACACCTACATGTGTTATATGCAATGGGTAACTCGATTTTGCAACCAATTTCATGTTTAAAAGCCCTACAAATCGATTTGTAGGGCTTTTGAAATTTTCGGAAATTGTAGCCAAACGCCCAAGTCGGCTCCGTTTCCACAACCCGAGCTATGTTTTCCTAACATCAAACGAGAAATCCTCTCTCGAGTTCATTCCCATTTAGAATCAATTCAACTGTTGGCCAAACAATCGAAAGCATTTAATACAGGAAAACATAAACATAATCAAAGATCGACAAATAGATCACAGATCTGGAAATCAAAATCAATATATATAAGGTTTCATTTCCCTAAAAGAAAATGCTCAGTTCATTACAAACATAGCATCAAAATGAAGAACACGAGAAATCATAAACTAAAAGTAAGGAAAAGCTTATGAAAAACCCTCGTCGAAGCTTCCAGCGAATAACTGGCGAAAACCGAAGAAAAGGTCGAGATATATGTCTTGATGTGTCGAGCTCTTCAAAAATGAATAAGGGACCTTCTATTTATAGTTAGAAATCAAAGAAAAATATCTCGTCTCGAATTATGTGCCCAGATCGCGATCTGGGCTTCTTGGATCGCGATCTGGCAGCCTTGGAAACTGCGCACCGCCTTTCCAGATCGCGATACGGGAATGGTGAATCGCGATCTGGTTCTTGATCAAAAAATGTACTGTGAGACCCCCCAGATCGCGATCCAGG